AAATCTAAAGAAAAGGAAAGAATATCACACCGAGTCGGTCGACACCCTTTGTTTTTCTCGCGCATCTAACGAGGATTTACCGCTGTTACAACCACCCATTCTCGGCAGTCGCCACCATTACCAGCGCAGCATTGGTGTGAAGATCTCTCGATGCTGGGAAAAAACGCGGTATCTCGGTTCCGGCAGAAGTCGTAAGGATAAAGCAACGACGCTGTCTCCCGCGCGGAACCAATTTAGGTACGCGCTCGCGGACAGATTTAAATCAAATCAACCTCTCCGCTATATTTGCGAAAATTAATTTGCAACGAGGAGCCCTCCGAGTCTTCGTCCGGGAAAAATAGTGGCAATGCGGAAATTCTTAATTTTATAAGATTCAAACTATTCTAGTCAAACTGTTACTGCAGCTCTCCGATAAGGAATTTTTAAAAACTAGATATTTTATAATAAAAATATAAAAGATTATGAATCTAGATATTTCTTGATATTCCACTTTTCCAAAGCAAAGCACGAAAGAAAAAAAATGGCAATGTAAGTGAATCAACGTTAATTATTATTATTCAATTATTTATAATTCTTTTACAACGAACTACATTAATTATAAATATATATATAAATATATATAAAAAAATATAAAAGATTATGAATCTAGATATTTCTTGATATTCCACTTTTCCAAAGCAAAGCACGAAAGAAAAAAAATGGCAATGTAAGTGAATCAACGTTAATTATTATTATTCAATTATTTATAATTCTTTTACAACGAACTACATTAATTATATATATATATATAAATATATATATATGGTATATAAAAATTAATATTTTTAAAGACGTCTACTCAGAATATGACGTTTACATATCTCTCTTTTGATTTTTCATTCTTTATTTCGTTTAATTACTTGCATGATTTTGAAAACCGCGACGATCGTCAACGTTTGTAAGTACCGTGTGACCGGAAAGAAAAATCTCTCGATTTATCGGCGTACTCATCCCTGAGTTGCATCGACAATCTTGGCTGATTCGAAAGTCTGCGGCGCGAAGAGAAACAAGTAGAAAAGGACGACGGCGATCGCGACCTAGCGGAGAGACGAGACGAAAGAAGCCTTGATATATCCACCAAACACAAGGGGCCCGAACACCTCGGCGGGATTTATCGGGACTGCGGATAATGGATGGCTTCGCGCAGCCACCGAGGACGCCGCTTTTTTAAATAATACAACGCAGTACGCTGAAAAATTCCTGGCTCTCGCGATAATCGCGGCTACTCAAATACGCTGAATATATGTAACGGAAATTATTGAAAAACTGTCAGTTTCGTCTGTTAAATAAAGATACACACGTTAGCTAGATAAATCTTGTCCATCCTGAGTCAAAATTTTGCTCCTACTTCCAACCTTAATTTTAGGATATAGATTCTAGAGATTTCTAATCTAATGAAGCTTCTGCGTTCAGCCTGTAAATGGCAATTATTGAAAAATTTCCTATTTTTAAGTTCAAAAGAAGTTTTCTAAATAGAAGCTATAGATAACAGGTTTATAAGGTTTAATTGAAGTTGAAAGAGACTGAAAGTAGGACTATAAAATTTCAACTCGAACAAAATTAACATTTATATCATATATCCATCATTTCTTTGATAAAAAATAAATTATCATTGTATTATACAAACAATTTTCAAAATCCAGTTCAAAATTATAAGTAAAAAAATTAAAATAATAACATATTAAGCTAACAATAAGAAAAGATTAAGAAAAGAATCTCGGACTAATTTTGTATGAAAAATTAGATTGTAATAAAATAAGTTAGTTTGCATATACATATAATAAGCTTGTAATATGGTGAATAAAAGAATGTCATAAACTCAATAATATAGTTTGTCTTTTTATTGCTGCAGTGGACTGCTCTAAAATTTTTCTTTTCGCTTTTACTAATTATTAAACAAGTGCTTATTTCATTTTAAGTACAAAAGTACACCAGTTTAACTACAAGTTTAATAAATAGTTTTTTAATTATGATATATTAAGGATGCTTTGCGAGAGCACAAGTTTTATCTTCAATAAAATCTATTTATTATTGAGCCTTATATGGCATTTTTTGTTCATGACATTATAAACTATAATTTGAGGTATGAGTTATAAAAACTAACTTATTTCATCGAGATATAATTTTTCATGTAATTAGTTCTTTTAGAATCCTTCACAATCTTCGTATATAATTAACAATAGATGTAATGTATAAAAATATATTTTTAATATCAAGAGAAAAAATCCTGATAATGTATACTTTGTACTATCCCTTGTTTTAACAGCGAATACGTGAAATCAAAAGAGAACTCGACTATTTCAACATAAAGATATCAAAAAGCGTAGTTACGGCAGTAACGACGAAACTCAAAGGATTTCGGCGACTCGGGCTTCAGGTGTAGCACAGTGACGACAGCTTAACAGCTTTAACCGGCTTTCCAGAGTAAATTTACCTCTGGAAAGTAGATTTACACTAAGATTTAAGGGGAAGCAAGGAACGGCCGACGCACGTCGGGGCGGACGAACCGCGAGACAAAAATCGCGAAGGCACCGTCATAGGATTGGATCCACCGCGGGAATGTATTTAATTCGATTGGCCTTTACCGCCTCCATCGTCGCTACCACGACCACCGTTGGGACTCTGACGAGGGCGAGAAAAGCGGGGTAGCTTTATCGGGGGGGGGGGGGGGGGGAAAGGAGAGGACGAGAGAACCTCTGTTTCCGCCGGAAATGAGGCCCTTGCTACTACCCCACGGCACCCCGCGTCGGCAACTTTCCCTCTCTTTCTCTCTTTCTATCAACCTTTTTCCTCCTCTCCTCCCTTCCTCTCCTGTCCTTCTCATCATCCTTCCTCGCTGTCATCGCGTCGTCGAGGAAGAAAATCGTATTTATATCCCATCTCTCGCGCGCCCAGGTAAATATTACGAGCAAGTGTACGCACCTGCCGCTACGAGCTATGACAAGCGAGTTCCACGAGGTCAAAAAATCGACGCTCTCATCACGACGTTACTCTCAACGTGCCGACCTGACCGTACTTACATATTTTTATACCCGTAAATTTCGAGCGTAGCAACAAGAAAGAATGAAATCAGCAGGATCAAAAAACTACTCCAGTTTACTATTAATTGCAAGAGAGGTGTGTTAGTAGTTTACGGATTAAAAATTAAAATAGTGAGTTTAAGATTAAAAAGTAGATTAAATATTCTGAGCAAAAGAAGTAAGTTTTAATGCCATCGTAATATAAAGAACGACTTTTATTACAAACTCATTAATTCACGTAGCTGCAATTATTTATAGATACCCCAGATCTGATCGAATGCTTCTCATATTATATATAATTATTGGAAAAGTATAAGGATATAAAAATCTTTGATTTTGAATCAAAACTGTAAATATCTTAACAATATTACACATTTTATAATACATATTTGACTATTTATCTTTTCTTTTGCCTACAATCTTTCTACATGAGGTATCTCTGTTTAACATTCGAAGAATTCGAGCGGTTAAAATTAATTATAATGGATAATTTTGCGATACGATGCTCACGGAAATATTGCTGGATCTCTCGAAACGCCGCGTCCATTCGCAGACTGGCGCATTTTATTTCTCATTACGAACGCAAATTAATTCTCTGACATAAAGTAATATAAAATCCGTTCAATGATCCGATCAATCGATCGACCGGACCACCCACGATTCTTCCCTTTAAGTGCGCGCCTTCTTCGAGGGGATTCGAACTGAGGGTGATCTCACTCCGGGTTCTCTTCCCTTGCCTGACTATTCATAAGTTCTCTTAAAACAGGTGCGGATTGCTCTTTTTCTCTTTTTATTTCTTCCTTTTTTGTTTCCATCTCGCACACGAATAAGACGGCGGGATCTAGAGCCAGACGAGAGGCAGAGAATCGAGGTGGAAGAAGCTTACCGTTGCTCTCTCCAGGCGGATGTCGACTGATTCTCCCTCCTCCGGCCATCCTGCGAGATGTAATTTTCGCTGTATGCCGAGATTAGAAGCCGGCTCGACGGGGCTACCCCCGGTTTCGCCTGCCTGATAAGTATTGCCTGCCCTGTGCCAGTCTCCTGCTGAATGCCCTAGAACTGGAAAAGGGATTCGAGAGATGATCTTGGTACGATCGATCGGCCTTACGACATGACGTCATGAACGACGATGGGTGCCCGTTATATCTTATTAAGGAGCTACGTATCCGTATAGGAGCGGATTTGCGGAATCGCCTTGAGCGTAATGAACATCTATTATACCGAACTATATTAAATAAATGTCATTGTTATTAATACATCTTAAGGCAAACCACATTATAAACGTTGTATGATATCTCGTTTAAACAAAGTTGTGAATAATTAAGGGTAATAAAGATTTATTTCACGTAAAATATATTCTTTGATTCGTATAAAAGATTAATAAAAATTCTTTTCAAATGGATTCGTATTAGAATTAAAGCTGTCGGATAAAAAGAAATATGTGGTAGGAGTATAGGATGTAATTTAAAGATAAAAAGAGAGTACCGCTTTCACCTCACATTCCCTTCATATTTGTGCAGCGGAAAAACAGGATGGAACTTTAGCTAGATGAAATCTTTAAAAGATCGGATTAGTCAGAGTTACAATTAAATAAAAAATATATACCAAAAATAATGAATGACAAAACGTAAGTGTTTAAAAACGTACTCATATATTTAATCACAAAAATGATACAAAGAATTATTTTCATCGATAGATAATTTATTTTGCAATATCGTAAGATTCATTGAGATTACCATTTCAAAAATGATCAGAGATGATGCTAATAAATCATCAAAAACGTGCTATAATCGTTATTTATTAGATAAAACTTACAATCTATAAATTACATATTTAATATAATTTTATGATAATTGTAATCTGAATTAGCTTTACAATCACTGAAATTTGATGTGCTGATAATATAAAAAACTTGAAATATTTTACTTTACTTTTTGCCACACTTTCCCTTTTACTTATACATTTATCACCTTTTTGTAAAGATTACATCTTCCATAAAAAAAACAATTTTTCTTTTTTGAATGCCATTAACATAAATGGCTGAATAACAAAGAGAAATCTGACTTGTACAGTGAATATATCCAATTAATGACCATACCTGTAAACAAAAATGACAAAATTGTTATACATATATATATTTAAATAATTATATAAAAAGTTAAAGTATTAAAAAATTGAGTTATAATTTATTATTTAAAATTTTACAAACTAAAAAATAGGTTTAAACTTTTTATTAAAGATATCTGTTCATATTTAAATTTAATATATCAATATTTTTAACTTTATACTTAAAAAAATTTAACAAATATATGCATGTTACAAAATGTGTACATAATAAACAAGGCTCTACTAATCTACTTACTTCTGAAACTCCCATTCACGATTATCGAGTGGACAGACCTGCCGTGTTTTCAGCCAGCGTGAAATACAATGAAAATGAAAGGCGTGCTAAGAATAAAAATACAGTTACAATAAGATTTAAATAAAAATTTGACAGCCTAATATCTCAAAATATTGTCAAACCTACATTACATACACCCCAGGCTACCGTACATTCCTCGCTAGTGGCAGAGGCCTGGTTTGCTTGACATTCAATGCATAGATCCATGATGTGATTACGGCAAATAGCACAATTATCCACAACAATATCTAAAAGATGTAAGAAATTACATTAGTAGATCTATCACTGTGTTTACTATTATGATATATTTTGAAGACTGTATAGTAGTAATGCTCGATAGTTCTTACCCCAGGCCCATAATGCCACTGCGTTCCACTGAAATAGACAAAATCAGACTTAGGTCTAATTGCACCAACATTACTTCGACTTAAGCGAGAGTTTAAACTCTCCCTCTCTCTCTTCCCCCTCACCCACTCCCTCTCTCTCTTTTTCGTTTTGAAACCAACAGAGAGACAGAGAGGAAGAGAGTATAAGCCTCACTTAAAGTTAAAATTTGAAAACATTAATGCATACATAATCAAGCCTTAGTAAACAATGCAAAGACAGATTGTGCCGTAAAGCCGAGCGGAGTGACAAAGCATAAATAAGGTTAGAAATTATGTTTTCACATTGCGCGGCAACTGTAAGCGAAATCGATCGTATATAATCTATATGCACATGTCGACACTTACCTTTTTCACTTCGAAACGTTTCTTTTCGCCTTTCCCACTGCTGGAGGTCGGGAGATCACAATCGTCATCGTCAATCTCCATGGTTGTAGCCATTTTTTAATGCCTTGAATTTTGAAGCACCGACTGGCGCTATCAAACGCGCAGTTCTTTACCGACCGAACGACGAGAACGGATCTTCCGAAGGTTAATTCAAAATTCGACCAAGGACTTTATCCACGCATCAGCGTGTCTCGGCGAAATATTTAATTATTTATATTTGTCCGACGAGTAGTTTGAAAAAAAAAAGAAACCCGACTGCATTTATTACGCAATCGCTCCGCAGTATTCGCTGTATAATGTAGTACTGGTGTGTGTATGTACGTACATACATACACTTAATCTTGTAACAATAAGCTCAGCGAATTACAAGAGCCAGTCAGATGTTGATAAATGATATTATGAACATTCTAGTAAATTTATTCTCTTTTGTAATTTTTATTTAATATATATATAATGCAATCAACTTGGCCTCGGAAAATGTATTCGAATATGCGCGCTTATACATGTTCATATATATACATATATATGTATGCAAATATGTTATATTTTATTAGCAGATATCTGATATTGCAACGCGAGAAAATATTTATAAAACACTCATCTATAACAATAAACGTTGATTCGTGGTGTTCGTGGTAATAAGATAGATTATTCACTCACCGTTTTCCGAAAAATTCTTGACGCCAGCCGATAGATCCTCTCGTCATAAAAGGCTAATTGTTGCACTCAAAACACAAAAAAGGATGATTACGCAATGCAGAGATCGTCTAATATCACATTCGAAATTCTTGACGCGAATTTGAGTTTACACACAGTACTTTTGACAAAAAAATCAAACGAAAATTGCGGAATCGCTCGGTGAAATAATTGCGCGTCGCGACACGAACGAATATAGCGGTTTGAAGTCCTGTGTTCACGATGCTAGAACTCGGTCCAAGTTCTTGGATCTGAATGTGCAGTCAATCAGTATGTGGTTTTTACGAAAACACGGCAAATTAATTGGCTACACATTTCCCGGTCCGAGAATTCGAACCAAATTCTAGCTAGCATCGTGCGGACACTGGACGACTGGACTCAAGCGGCTGAAGCGACCTGCGCAGGCGCAGATCTATGATCTATCGGTGCGAAACGTTTTCCGTCGATGTTTTCCCGCCCTTTTTGGTAATTCTGTAATATGCTCTTTGTTTTCTGTTTCTTGCTGTTTATCTCTTGCCCACTATTGCCTTTTTGATCAAAAGACAAAAGACAAACAGCAAGAAACGGGAAACAATTAAGAACACATTGTAAAATTACCACAGATCTACGATAGAGAGTTCTAAGCCTTAAGCTAGTTAAGAAATGGACGAATCATAGTCGATTATTCTCCACGAAATCGTAATTGATTGATTTCTTACGGCTTAAGACTTAAACCCTTCGAGAAATTTAATATTAATACTGGTCAATTAATCACTTATTTTGAATATTAAAAAAGCATTATAAATAGTACTTTTATAATACTTAAAAGATATCAGTTATTTTTCGTGGTAATATATTATTAAATTGAGAAAATATACACTTAATTATGTATGTTCACTTTGAACTGGCACATTTCATAATATATCGCAGTTAGTTTTCGTAGTAATATATTATATTAGATAATATCATTTAAAGTCTTATAAAGGTTTAAATTTTTGAGGATAGGTATAATCATTTTTTTTTTGAAGTATTATTATCAAATAATCATTTAATTTTTAAAGATTTAAATATTATAATTAGAATTGCATTGTTATAAGTCGACGATTGTAGTAACTAAAAATACGTATTATATTTATTTATACGAGTCTCACGACTTAATTCAACAAACGCAAAATCGTCAATCAAACCGATATTTTACGCGGAAATATTTCTCTCTGGCTTTTTGTCGGCCTCTCCCCGACGAAAGAGGATTAGATGTCCGATTTTCTGAAGACGCTTTCTGAAGCTTTCGATTTTTCAAGATTCAACCATTTAGCACGAAACGCAGTGCACTGTATACACATGCGCGTCTTCAGAAATCAGAAGTACGCTGTCTCAGTTAGGATGGAACGGAAATTACACCGGAATGGAACAGTGAGATCCAGTGAGACCAATCACAATCACAGAAAGGAAAGCAGATTAATGATTGCAGAGTTCTGATTGGTCTCACTGTTCCGTTCTGTTGTAATTTTCGCTCCATGTGGCGGCACCCTTAGGGCCTCTTTCACCAACGCCGATTAACTTAATCGACGATTAGTCCATTGGAATTGACCAATCGAGTCCGTCGTCAAAACTAAATGATAAATGCGATTGGTCAATTCCATTGGAGTAATCGTCGATAGGGTGCGGTTGAGTTGCCACTACGAACGCTTTGAAGCGTTTGATTGACCAATCAAAAGAAAGAATTTTACAAATTGACCAATCAAGAAACGCTTCAAAGCATTCGTAGTGGCAACTCGACCGCAGCCTAAATTAATCGGCGTTGGTGAAAGAGGCCCTTACAGTCGGAAATGGGATAGGAAGGGCGAACTGCGAAGAAGTTGGCAACACTAGCCGGCAGGAAAATGGCGTTGCTGTTACCCAGTGAAAGTATACACGGGTGAAGAACGTGCTTTCGCGCGGCGTCACAGACGCGTTACGATTAACATGTAAATAATATACGACAGATCGTATACAGTTGTTCTAACGTGAGTCGTGAGTTTGTTTTGTTTTCATCGTTGTGGCACTTGTGTTCTTCGATGAGATTCCGGTGATACGTTTCTAACTGCATGTCCGCAATGGCCGACGACTCCGCACCGCTGCCGAAGAGGCGCCAATTGGTAAACAAAGAGCATGCACGAATTCGGCTAGACGTTGTCGTCGCCGACGATGACGTCGACGCCGGCGATGATACCGCGTCGAGTAATCCTCGAACGGTATGGTCCACGTGTTGTCTCATTACACCGTGTTGTCATCTTACAGCGCGAGCGAACCAGAAAGTTGTACACAGACGACTGGACCATAGGCGATGAAGAAATCGAGGGTCGCAGGACTTTTCAGCTTGATGAGAAGATTGAGGCCAAGAGGTATGACTTGAGCAATTTCAGTGGCCTTTTCCGCGAGATGACTGGGCCGGAGCTGAATCTAACGTACCTGCAGAAACATGGTCTGCAGATACCACTATTGTTCAAGGATAAGTCTGGATTGGGCTTGCGAGTACCCAGCTCCAACTTTTCTGTCAACGACGTCAGAACCTGTGTTGGTAAGTCTCAAATATGAGTGAAAAGAGGATAGTGCTCCATAGACATTAATAATATTTGTACAATAGGTTCTAAGAGAGTACTTGATGTTATGGACGTTAATACTCAGAAGAATGAAGATATGACTATGAAAGAATGGCAAAAGTATTACGAGGATCCCAACAAGGAACGCTTGTTGAATGTGATCTCATTAGAATTTAGTCATACCAAGTTAGAGAATTATGTACAATCGCCTTCACTTGTGCGACAAGTAGATTGGGTAGATGTAGTATGGCCAAGGCATCTAAAGGAGTCTCAGGTGGAATCTACAAATCTTCTAGAAGATATGATGTACCCTAAAGTACAGAAGTATTGCTTGATGTCAGTAAAAGGTTGTTATACTGACTTTCATGTTGATTTTGGTGGTACAAGCGTATGGTATCATATTCTGCATGGTGGTAAAATCTTTTGGTTAATTCCACCCACTGAGAAAAACTTGACTCTCTATCAGGAGTGGGTGTTGAGTGGTAAACAGTCAGATGTATTCTTTGGTGATATGGTAGACAAATGTGGGAGGATAAGTTTAACAGCTGGTATGACTCTGTTTATACCAACTGGTTGGATACATGCGGTATATACTCCTCAGGATTCTTTGGTCTTTGGTGGAAATTTTCTTCACAGTTTTGGTATAGAAATGCAATTAAAAGTGGCACAAGTAGAGGAGCATACAAAAGTACCACAAAAATTTCGATATCCATTCTTCACAGAAATGTTATGGTAAGAGTGAATAAAAATTGTATTTTATATTATTAAGTATAATATAAATATTGTTTTGTGGATTCTAAAGTCTCCTTATGTATTACTCCACAGGTATGTCCTCGAGAGATATGTACATGTACTGTTGGGTAGAAGTCATTTGGATATATCTGAATCACAACGACAACACTTGGTCCCACAACATCATCAACATATACATGTGACAGATTTCGAATTACATGGCTTAAAATCTATAGTAATGTATTTGCATTCATTACCATCAACTAAGAAGAACGTTCCAGAATTAATGCGTGATCCAGTTGCTCTTATTCATGATGTTCGATGTTTGGTAGAGCAGCATAGACATGATAATCCAGAATCGGCTGTGACGGGCAATCCTGTGTTACCTCCACCACCACCCTTAACCATTGTTGACAGGGTATCTATCGTTCATTATATTAAATCAAAATTTAATCGAAACATTTAATACCTCTTATCTAATTTGCTTTGTCTTGCTTTCTTTTTCAGGAACGCATGAGAGTTGCGAGAAAAGGTTTTGCAAAATCTCAGAGACATCACTCAGACAAGTCCGAGAGAGCGTTTCCACGTAGGAGACGCACTAGATGTAAGAAGTGTGAGGCTTGCACTAGACAGGACTGTCGAGAATGCGTATTTTGCCAAGATATGGTCAAATTTGGCGGTAGTGGTCGAGCTAAACAAACATGTCTCATGCGTCAATGTCTTAGACCTATGCTTCCCGTCACATCAGCCTGTAAAGTCTGTCGTTTAGATGGTTGGAAACAACCACCTGCACCGTTGACTGGTATGTGTAATTTACAATAAATTTATTTTATATTTTTTAAAAATATGTTTCTAGATTTATATATCTTGAGTCTTTTATTTACTATAAAAAAATTTTTTTTACTGTTATAATAACTGTATTATAATATTATTATTACTAAACTATTATTACAATATAATTTTATATTGATAAATTAAACAATTTTTATATTTTAAATTTTTATATGATTTCAATTATATATATGAAAAAAATTGTGTGCGCGCGCATTCACTTGGCGCGAGACACTATCATGTCAACACGTCTTTGTATTAACCAACTTGTCCAATAACTGAAACAATTTACGATGTTTGTCCTTCGCATGTAAAGGAGCTGCAATGTAAGAAAGATAGGAAATAACGATTTCAATGTTGTCAGTTTGTCGGAGCAAAATTATTTTCGGAACTTTGTTGTCTCACCTCGTATATCCCTTCCCTCTCATAAATCGAATATTTAAATATTTACAGGTAAATCCTTCCCCACAACACCATCTACCTTAATGGAATGTTCAATCTGCTTCGACATTGTACATCCAGAATGTATAGGTTTGAATTCCAAGGAGATAACCGTTAACGATGATTTGCCAAATAGTTGGGAATGTCCAGAGTGTTTTGAACGAGGTCGGAACTTAGATTGTCGGCCACGTCACCCAAGGGGTCGCACGCGAAAATTATCAATATCCAGTGCGGCTTCCTCAGCACCGACGACGGATTCTGAACGGGCTATGACACCGAGTAAACAATCGAGACTTGATCCTAACGATGTATGTAAATTCTCTTGCATAGAAATTATAAAAAAATCTTAGGTGCTTTTTATTTGGTGACACACGTTGACGCAAACCTCATTCTATCTTTCTTGACATTCAAAGAGTAACAAAGACACTTGTCGATTTGTGTCACCAAATGAAAAACACAGCTTTATATCTACACTAGAATAATTTTTACGTATTTTTACGCTTCAATCTCTAGATAAGCATAAGCCGCGTTGTATAGAGCGTTGCTGTATACATTTCGCGTGCTTTATTTTCCTCAGGCGTGGAACGATTCGCCCAGGGAGCCAGCCGAAGGTGAACAGAGAATGACTCAGCAGCGTACTCAGTTAGCTATGCAGTTGATTGCCTCGAGCAGCCGATCTTTAGTGAAGCCACACGTAGTGGTTAGGCCTGCGCCGCCACCACCTATTCAAGAAACGGATGGCGAAAATGAACAGAATTTGATATATAACGAGACAGCAGTGCTTTCGGTATTCAGATTCCTTGATATAAAGGATCTGCTTAATTGTGCCTTGGTTTGCCGTACCTGGGCGAGATACAGTGTAAATCCCAGTCTGTGGAAGAAACTTGACATGTCTCATTATAACCTTCGTTCCATACACTTGACGGTTATTGTCCGCCGACAACCCGAGTATCTTTCGCTGGACTGGACCAACATTAATAAGATGCAATTAGCTTGGCTGCTGAGTAGGTTACCGCAGTTACGGACATTGTCTCTTCAGGGTTGTACTTGGGCCGGTGTTCGTGCCCTGAAGAGTAGTAGCTGTCCGCCACTAGAAAAGCTGAATCTGAGTTATGTTACCTCTTTGAATGATACTGTTTTGCAAGAAATTCTGGACTCTCCAACGGACTCAAGACCTGGCCTTATCGATAAAACATCACGATTGAAACATCTCAAGAATCTGTCTTTAGCCGGATGCGATCTGACAGATCGAGGAGTGAGATATATAGTCCAGCAATTATCGGATCTTGAAACTTTAGACCTCTCCTCGATTGGCAGACTTACCGACTCCGGAGTAGCGCATCTGACGTCGCTATCAAATCTGGCGTCGCTCAACCTAGCAAATTGCAAGTTGCTCACTGAAACGACTCTTGATCATCTAGCGAGATGTAAAGCCTTAAAACGCTTGGATCTGCGACATACAACCCAAGTATCGACGCAAGCTGTCATCAAATTTGCTGCTAAGAGCGAGCATAATTTACATGTAACAGACGTTAAGCTGGTGGAGGAGAAGAAGAAAGTTAGACCCGATTTTATGGACACGTGAAAAAGCATGGCGCTTACACGCAAACTAATGTTCAGTGCATCCGATTATCATCGCGTAAGAATCATCATTTGCAAAGAATTAATGCTATAACAGTACATTATGCTACGATCAGCAACTGTTTATTTTACATGAGAGAATCTCTAGATTATGTTACATGACGAATATTATAGTGTAACACGAAGGATGTGATAGTAATAGAATTTCTATTCAGATAACATTTACTTTTATTGATATAAGACCGAACACAATTTTAACAACGATTTCTTCACAACTTGAATGTCTTAATATTTTCATTTTTCTTATTGTAAATATTTATCTATTTGATCGTGTGATTTGCATAAATATACCATGTTTATATATTTTTCAAAACTGTTGAATATCATTTTAAAATAAATGCTTTGATTTATTCGAATTTTTCCTTTGCAATAATATCGAAGAAAATCTTAGTATTTATTGTATCGTCAATTTTGTAATTTTTTATCTCTTTATAAGTAAAGCTTAAATTTTAATTTTATTATTAAATTGTTAAATTGGAGAAGTTTTGCGCTTTATCTAGCATCTTATAGTTTAATTTGGAAAATTGACTTAGAATTTGTCATCAAAAGGACATTCCATTAATTTGAAATATTTCTCGTGTCCACGTACACACAAGATACATATTATAAACTACGGATGTGTATATGTAAATATATTTGAATTTATCTTTTATTACATCCTACTTAATCACATCTCAAAATTTTGCAAAGATATATTGTAAAATAATGATTTCTTTGATTATTATTTTTTTTTTCTCTTTCTCTTTTATACTTTAAATATTTTATAAAGATATTAATGATTATTAATATTTTTTTCTTTATTCAATGTTATGTAGCATCAAATTTCAAAAATATGTCATATTAAAGAAAAAAGTATACAAAAATTAATGTAGAAATTCTGTCGAATCATTGTTCACATAAGTTGTGAAACTAGAACATATGTGAAAATAAGTATTTCTTTTGCACGAGTGTTTGGGCAAATCTCGACTAAGAATTCAAAAACAATGTCAGTAATTATACACATACTCGTATATACACTTATTCGCAGCATGCGTCGAAACATATGTACTAAAATCCACTGTATTGTTTCGTAACATTAGTTCGGTGATTTTACGTGATAATCGAAGATAGCATATACATGCTTTGAATTTTTTTATTTCCGACCTGATGTCATCTCGTGATGTTCTGTGCAAGCCAATGTATATATATCTGCTTTTTATATATATGCTCATTTCAGTACCTCTTTTTTCTCCTTTCCATCCCTTTTTAAGTATTCTTTAAGTATTCTAAATAAGATATCATGTAAAGACAAAAATGATAAGTGAATTAGATACTGACTCAAGTGCCATCGTGCATTTTATGAAATTATCTATTTTCTTTATTGTATTCCAATGCGTTCAACAAATTCGTTGTAATCAAATGATTTATATCATAATATTTTAAAAAAGGTATTATGATAGCAAACATTGTTTTCAGATTGTTTATATCATAATATTTTTAAAAAAGGTATTATAATAGCAAACACTGTTTCAAACACGAGTTTTATTCGTTACTATTTTTGCGCTGAAAATATAATCACAAGTGCGCACACGCGCGCGCAAAACTCGATCATTCTTGTTTCTTTTCTTGATATAATTAAAATTGTTTGTAGCAATTTAAAATAAGAACGAAATCGTCACGATAAGACATTGTATAATATATGTAATCCATGAAGAGTCATAATGATCTCTGATTTCCAAATATAATTTTTATTTGTAAAAGGCGATTGATTTTCCCCTCTCTTTTCTCGTTTAATTTCTTCAATTTAAATTTTATAGTTTAAAATAGAATAGAAAATTTTGTTCAAAAAAGTTTCAAGAAATAATTTATGTCCGATTAGTTTTGTTTTTACAAAAGAATTTTTCAAACAAAAGTATAAATATATCTCACGTATTCTCTGAAACTTGCGCGAATTTGATATACAGATAATTTTTTTTATTTGAAAATTATATACAGATATCTACATTTAGCTTGTTTAAAATTAGAGCAATACTTGATTTATGTAGCCGTTATATTTGTAATACTTATATTTCAAAAGAAAAATAACGTGAAAGATAAAAAGGAAGAGAAGAAATGAAGGGAGAAAACAAACTAACGCAAAAATCTATTAATGACTTGTGTGACTGTGTATTAAAATAACTACTCAGAGTCATCCAACGTGGATAAAATCTTCTCTGAAATAAAAAAAGCATTTTTTAAATTTACCTTCGCAAAGACAAAAGTGTGACATATAGAATTAGTTTTAATACTTCGTATAGTTCGTATAGTTCGCGCAGTTTACGATTCTCTAGCATATTTTCGTATCGACTTCCGTTAGTTATGTGAACAAAAATATTTCCTAAAAACACAAATTTTTGTTTGCTAAATACTTTGTCAAAACAAATTATTCCACTATAAATACACAATTTATTTTACTAATAAAACAATTGGTTTTATTGCGATAGCGAAGTGTATTTGTTAGGTATACATACATTTTATTTTATTAGCAGCAGGTTCATGATTTTAACAATTGAAAAAATCGAGCTCGTTTATCAATCGATATTCAAAGCGCCAGGAAATGTTTCAAGTCCTTGGCTTGAATATTTACATCTTGCAACTACAATTTTTAATAAAAACGACGTATATTGTAGTATTTATTTCATCGAAGCTATTCGCTTTCTCAATAAGCTGTTACGACGAGAATTTTCACGTTCGATCAATAATAATAATTTATTAAAAAATATGTGTAACATACAATTGTCTATATTTCAATATGTGCATTTTGCATACGATACAATCTTTGCTTTGGAAATATATTCTTTGCATGTTGTTTTTTTAGTCTAACCTAGTTCGGCTAAGACAGAATCAAGATCCTCCTGCAGACTGAGACTGTCTTCTCGCTGCTTCACTAAATTATCCTTAATCCTGTCTACCTGCGCTTTCAACAGGTAGTTGCCCTTTTTCAAGGCTGCCAGTCGTCCCTCGTGTTTTGTCACACGTTTCTGAAAAAGAGACAGACACAGTTTCAAGAACGCAGTTTAGAAATTCAATCGTGATCTTTTCGCCCACAATTCACCTGCAAATTGTTTTTGCGCTTCTCGATAGGTGCTTGATCGTCATCAGACTCAGACTCTTCTTCTTCTGATTCTTCAGACTCCGACTCTTCCTCAGACTCCGTCTCTTCCTCTTCTTCCTCCTCTTCTTCTACTTCTTCCTCTTCGTCGTCGGTATCCCCCATCAGTTTCGCCATCTTGTCCACTTGTTTCTGCAACTGCTTGTATTTCTTTTTTTCTTCCATCAATAATTTCTGCTGTTGTTTGATTTGCTCCTTCAGCGCGTGTCTCTCTTTCCTGGCGTTCACAGCTTTATCTCTATTTATAGACAATTTATTATATAATTTTTATAATATAATACATTAAATAAGATAAATATTCGATATTTATCTTATTTAATGTATTATAGATTTATAGATACGATCGCTTATTGTGATTTGTATGGATCTTCATTACACTTACATAAAATTCTTAATTTTTGAAGTGAGAAGCTTGATCTCCCTTTGTGCACGTCTCTCTGCTCCTACTTTAGGATCCTCATCTTCCTCTTCTTCTTCTTCTGTACTCTCCTCTTCTTCCTCGCTCGCGCTGCGAACATCCTGTTTGTCTATACTCTTTTGTGACGCAATCTTGGCTACATCTTTCGCGCTTGGACAACCAGCCAGTGCCATTCCTGCAACATTATACCATCCTACGTCTTCCCAATCCTCTGCTAACTCCACCATCGATTCAGCTTCAATAAGCGTATGCTCTTCTTCTGATAAGCAAAGCAAAGGAAAGCGAAGCAAAGAAATATGATTAATATAAGCTTATTTCTAGCAACTACCATAATTGTTAGTTACAATTTTCCATTCGGCGCAACATAATTATTAAGTAGAACATTTGTTATATTACAGTTACATTGTTAAGTGAGAAATTATAATTAACAATAATTATGTTATTGTCAGTTGATGTTTGCTGAGAAGCGTTGATATAAAATTATAAAGCATAAAAATGGATGTGATTTACTTGGAACTGATAATAAGGTTTTGTTTGGAAAGTGATTAATTCAAGGTGATTATAGAAAAAGCTAAGAGTACGCAGTTCATAAATCACTAGCTTTTAGCAAAGCGGATATTCTTAATCACGCACCAGCTTTCATACGCTTTTCTAACGCTGCATACATTCTTCTCATTTCTTCTAATTCGTTTCTAGCCTTATCTCTTTCCTCGGCGGCGATGGCCGATTCTTCCTCCGCTTTTTCTGCATCTTTTCTCACTTGCTGCATTTCCTGCCTCAAAGATTCCGTGAGTTTCTCATCCTGTTGTTTGTTTTCTTGAGTATTCTTTTGTAACTTCATATGTTCTACTTCTGCCTCGAGATTCAAAATTCTTGCCTGCACATGAAATTATTTTATAAGAAATGATCTCTAGCTAACTATTTCTTTAACCCTTCGATCTTTCTTCCTCATCCGAACAGGTCGATATTAATTTGCCTTATTTAGATAAGAAATAGAATCCTAAGTAGGATTGGATAAAGTAAATACAAACTTTATTGAAAGCCTCTCCTAAAATATCAAATATCAAGTTTCAGTCCAATTACCTGCAATCGCTTATTGTCTCGTTCTAAGATTTCTTTGTTTCTAAGTTCCATCGCGAGCATCTGTTTAGTGCTTTGCAAATCATCTCTAACGGCATCAATATCATCCATTTCGTCTTGAATAACGTCTTCTACAGGCGCCTCCTCGGCCTTTTGAATTTGTTCCTCGATGGTCATTTGTCGTCGGAATTTCCTCAGTCCCTCCAGCATCGGTTTTGAGCGGTCATTCGTCTTCACAGTCTTGAGTTTTATGCCCTGTTGAATCTGTTTCAGCAGCTGATTGTGCATATTCGACTTTTCGGATTCGAATACGAAGTGGGCCTTGCCTATATATAGCAAAGAGAGATAATCGATCAGCATAAAAACATACATATTTTATTGACTCTCCATTGCCTTTTAAGAAAAGATACTAATAGTAAGTGCTTATAAACACAAAATATTTAATATACCATCGTAATATCTTTTGTGTAGAAACAAAAAATATATACATTTACGCAACATAATAGAGTATAAAAAAATAGTTTTACATTATTTTACATTATATACATTAGAAA